CTGCAGTCTGGAGCTGAACACAGCCGAGCCACAGCCATCCACGGACCAGTGAGCAAGAAATGCGTGTAAGCAATGAAGATCTGTGGCTGTTACCACCCCAGCAAGAGCTGATGGTGCAGGCAGGGACCCTGTGTCCTCTGAACTGACTCCCTCTCCTTTGCTTACTGTCCATAGAATAGCATTCTCACAGTATCTTTTTAAAACAAAGTACTTCTGTGTTGTTAATGACTTTATTGTTCCCAGTAGGGAAGTTGCCTAGGATTAAAAGCCCTCTTTATATCAGCACTAGGTTCTATAGTTTCTATCCCAATAAATAATGAAATCTAAGGAAAATCATTGTGCTTGCTTTATAAACATAGCTTTAAGAAAGTCCTCTCCCTCCCCTCTGTTACCTGGAACACACAAGCCTCTTTTGTACAGAAATTCTGGAGCCAGCCAGGCAAGCACACCAGGCTCCTTAGCAAGATCCTGGAAAAGTAAAGCAGGAAGCCAGCGGCCTGGTGCTTTCAGTGCCTTTCCAGGCCTTCCAGTCCTAGCTGAGTGTAAGGGTGTGTCCTCAGTTTGCTCATTCAATAAACATTGGGGACTTTGCACTCTCGTGACGAGTAGTGCTGGGTATCCATGGGGGTAAGTTCTGATGGGGGAGGCTGGGCACACCGTGACTAGCAAGGAATCTAACAAGCTACTGGTATAGAGAGAATTGCTGGCAGGGCAATGATATTATATTAAATATGTTAAAATTGAAAATTTATTTTCTGTAAGTCAGTACCTTTAAGTCAAAAGGTGCAAATAGGTATCTAATAAAACGTTTTTTATCTCGCCTCCGTCTTTCGGCACCCAGTTCCCCAACTTTGCCTTTGGAGGCAAGGTTGCCAGTCTCTTGTATATTCTTTGAAAAGTAGCTTATGTATATACAAGTAGTTTTATGTATGTTTCCCCCCTTTTTTTACACAAATGGTAACATGCTATACGCATTTCTTATGTCTCCTTTAACTGAAGATTTATCCTAGAGTTTTCCCATATCTGTGTATAGAGTTTAACATATTTTTTTCTTTTGGTGAGAACTCTTAAGTTCTACCCTCTTAACAAATTTCAGTTACAGGGTACACTGTTACCAGTTGTAAACACCAGGTTATGCGTTGGGTCCTCAGAGCTCACTTATAACTGGAAGCCTCTGGCTTTTGGCCAACTTCTCCCTATTTTTTTCGCCCCTCAGCTTCTGGCACCCACCACTCCCCGCTCCATTTCTGTGAGTTTGACTTTTTTTTTTTAAGATTGCCCTTCTAAGTGATATCATGCAGCATTTGTCTTTCTTTGCCTTGTTTCATGTCGCATCATGACCTCTAGTTTCATTCACGTTGTCACAAATGGGATTTTCTTCTTCGTAAAAGCTGGGTGATATTTCATTGCATATAGTGTATACCATATATTCTTTGTCCATTCACCAGCTGGGGGACACTTAGCTCGTTGGCTGTTGTGAATAATGCTGCAGTGAACATGGGAGTACAGATAACTCTTCAAGACAGCGGTTTTGTTTCCTGTGGCTACGTACCCAGAAGTGGGATTACAGAGCCGTTCTATCTTCAGTGTCCTGAGGAGTCTCCATATTGTTTTCCCGAGCGGCTGTGCCAGTCCATGTTCCCACAGGTAGTATACAGGAGTTCCTTTTCCCCATATCCGTGCTCACATTTGTTACAGCCGACCTCTTTGATGATAGACACCTCAACAGGTGTGAGTGATACTTCACTGTGGTTTTGATTGGCATGTTCCTGATGATTAGTGATGTTGTAATACTCAGTCCTCTGTATCTAGGAGTTTTGCATGTGGTTTCAGCCAGTCACAGGTCAAATATATATTTTTTAATTTCCAGGAAGATGATCCCTGAATGTTAACAGTGTAACAGTTATTTACATAGCATCTGCATTGTATTGTATTATAAATCATCTAGAGATATTTAAAGTACGTGGGAAGATGTGGGTAAGTGATATGCAAATACTGCACCATTTTATATAAGGGATTTTGGCATCTTAGCACTTGATATGTGCCTTGCATTTTTCAAGCTGTGGGCAGAGAGAACGAGGGGACCCGGAAGCCTCCTGAATGACTCTGTTCCCAAGGCCGACTTAACAGGAGTGTGAGTCCAACCCAGTTTCAGTCCTTGGTTTCCACTAGTAATGATGTAGGACTGGCAAGTCCCTGGGGCTGTGCAGCTGTTCTGGGCAGGGACGGGCCTGAACTGGGTCTGGCTCACGCCAGCTGGCAGCGTGTGGGCTCTTGACTTCGTGTAGGAAAGATTTCAGAACACAGGCCCAGGTGATTTTGAGAGTATGTTTATTAAGGCTGGGACAGGGAAACAAAGGTAGGACTGTAAAAGCCACAACAGGAGAGAGTCTAGGCAGTCGGCACTCTGCTTTGGCTCCCTGGAAACAAAGGAAGTGAGCCAAGGTGAAGCTGCTGTTAGCTCAGTGGAAGTGAAGGTCACAGTGACAGAAGCGAGCCAAGCCAGGGAAATCAGAGAAAGAGAGGGCCGTACAGGATCAGGTTGTAAGCCTGGGATGAGCTGCCGCTGCCCACTGCTCCCTGCTTGCAAGTCTGGTGGAGACCCTTGGAGTCTAGGAGGAGGTAAAAAGTTCATGCTCTGGAGCCTGCAGGTCTTTGGCTTGAAGGTTTTTATTTTCTGCAGGCAAGAATCTTCGAGTAGAGTTTCAGTAGAATATTGAGTAGCTTTCCAGGTGTGTTTTTAATGTGCTGGTGCATTCAAATGAGTGTCAGGGAAGATAAGGTGTTGCGATTTCACCATCTGGCTGGCTGTAAGTTGTTCAGCTTGGCCTTGTTTAATGATCTTGTCTCAATTTCACCATTCCACTTGCCCAGGAATTTGCTTAGCCTCTTACTATCCTGCCTCACTACCATGTGATTTATTAACTCCACTGCCCTGAGCAGATGCCAGAGAGAAGCCACTAGTCTGCAGTGCTCCAGAAGTCACAAACCAGCAAGCTGGCATTGTGTGCTACTGGAACCTCTCCCTACTTAGCTCTCTCTCCAGTTTGCTCAGAGCTCTTACTACTACCAGGCTAGTCTGTCTCATATCTGGGGTCCCACTGTGTAGCCTGCCTCTGTTGCTGAAATGAGACTTGTCTCTCTGCTGTCTTCACTTACTATGTCATCATATAGTAAGTCTTCACTTAACATCGTCAATAGGTCTTTCAACTTGTAAGAGAAACAACATACAACAAAACCAGCTTTACCGTAGACTAATTGATACAAACAAAAGTTAAGTTCCTGCGTCATCTCATCAATGTTAGAATTAAACAACGTCATCTGCGGGCCTGCCGTGCTGGAGAGAGGTCTGGTATTCCGCACAACTCGGTGGGCAGGGGAGGCTGACTGCTGTAACCAGCAAGTCCAAAAATCATCAGTTGCTAGACACAGAGGTTTATGTATAACTCACAGCACAGTCCATTCTGGGTTGGGAGGGTGCTGCAGGTGAGCAGTAGGAGGGGCCTCTGTTCCCTGCAGTCCATCAAGGACACCAGGTGCTGCCTCCCGGTGGCTCCACCCTCCTGTAGATCCACCAAGGCTGTTGGTTCAATTACAGTAGCTGTGGAAAGAGAGCGTTGAGAGGCCTATCTGCTCTCAATCACCTTGGCTCAGAAGTCACACCGGTCATTTTGCTCACACTTTACCAGCAAGCCCTCGTCACATGACCTCACCTGAAAGATGGGCTAGGAAATAGGGTCTTCTATGTGCCTAAGAAGGAGAGAATATAGATATGAGACCACTAGAGACGGTGCCACAGCAGCCTCATATGGTACCGGGGTGGTCCTTCCAGAGAATTCACAAGGGAGGCTGTTTTCCTCCAACTGTGAACAAACTGTATGCTTCCGAAGTAAGAGGTTTTTCTTCTGTTCTGTAGATACCTTTAGTTTTGCATTGACCTTACAGGTGTCCTACTGGTTTTGTCCTTTTAATTCTGGGACTATTATTATTATTATTTTGCTGTGAATCTGTTTTCCCTCAGATCATTAGGCCTGCTTAGTCTTAAGATATTACTTGAGTTTGTACTCACAGTGTATTTTAAGGGAATTTTTACTATTCATTATTTTGTTCTGTAACACATTTAATCTTCCCAGTAACACTGTGCGATCAGTATTATTATTGTCTTCATTCCCCAGGTCAGGAATCCAAGTTGTGGGGAGTGAAGTGGCCTCCCACCAAGTGAGTGGCCGAGCGAGGATCCGGACCACGGGCCTGACCGCAGGCCCGCCTTCCGAGTCATTGTGTCGCTCAACATTTCTTTCTGGAACTGGCCAGGGGCCACGGTCTCGTCCATCTCCACCTCCGTCCGCCCCCGACATTTCCTTTTCTCCAGAAGTCTGAGGCTCTGGAGTTCTCGTACACCGGGGAAGATCCTTTCTCTCATTGGTTTCCAGGGCAGTAAAAAACAAAATGGGAGAATAATCAGGGTTAAATTAATATGCCATTTTAAGTATAGCGGCACGAGATTAGAGAAGTAAGGATGGAAGATCTTGACAAAGACATTGCAGGGAGCCATAAAGAGTCCTTTTTGGCGGGCTTGGGATGTGCAGACAGGACCGAGTTTTCAGAAGTCGCATCAAGTATTTACGATGCATTTACGTTGGAACTTATTTTTTGTGTGTCAAGTCTTGCTTTTTTGCATCTGTTTTAACAACCCGTGTCTGTAGCTGCTAAATTGACTTAATGAGCTTGTGTGCCTGGTGGCTTACTGGCACCTTGTAAGTCTAACTAAGCATCTGTAGATGTGGAGACTTGGTTGGGTGTACCAAGGTCTCATTACTCACAGAAGGGAGAAAGGAGTCCCAGAGATCATTACAACTAAAGAGTGGTGTACTGGAGAAAATACTTAAGTCTCTAGGAGCTACCCAGCCTAGAACTGGAATTTCTGGTTTGCTATGCACTGAGTTCTTACCCTGGATTTTGAAAAGCCCTTTACCATTCTCTTGCTTCTCTTTCTCTAGGTTTGACTTGCACTGATCTGGGCCTAAGGTCCAGGATGGTTTGTTCCTGGGACCAGACCTGACCGGAAGTTGGCCTCATGAGCACGTCAGCCTCTCCAGCTGCCATGCTGCTCCGGAGGCTCCGGAGGCTCTCCTGGAGCAGCACCGCTGTCCAGCTCTTCGTCCTCACGGTGGTGACATTTGGCCTGCTGGCCCCCCTGGCCTGTCACCGGCTTCTACACTCTTACTTCTACCTTCGCCACTGGCATCTGAACCAAATGAGCCAAGAGTTCCTGCAACAAAGCTTGAAGGAGGGGGAAGCTGCCCTTCACTACTTCGAGGAGCTGCCCTCCGCCAACGGCTCAGTGCCCATTGTCTGGCAGGCCACCCCACGGCCCTGGCTGGTCATCACCATCGTCACGGTGGACAGGCAACCTGGCTTCCACTACGTCTTGCAGGTGGTGTCCCAGTTCCACCGGCTTCTCCAACAGTGCGGCCCCCAGTGCGAGGGGCACCAGCTCTTCCTGTGCAATGTGGAGCGCAGTGTGAGCCATCTCGATGCCAAGCTGCTGTCCAAGTATGTCCCCGTGGCCAACCGCTATGAGGGCACTGAGGACGATTACGGCGATGACCCTTCCACCAACTCGTTCGAGAAAGAGAAGCAGGACTATGTCTATTGCCTGGAGTCGTCTCTGCAGACCTACAACCCAGATTATGTCCTGATGGTGGAAGACGATGCCATTCCAGAAGAGCAGATCTTCCCAGTCTTGGAGCACCTTCTGCGGGCTCGCTTCTCTGAGCCACACCTCAGAGATGCCCTTTATCTAAAGCTCTATCACCCCGAGAGGCTCCAGCACTATATCAACCCGGAGCCCATGCGGATCCTGGAGTGGGTTGGTGTGGGCATGTTGCTGGGGCCCTTACTAACCTGGATATACATGCGGTTTGCCAGCCGTCCAGGGTTTAGCTGGCCCGTCATGCTGTTCTTCTCCCTGTATAGCATGGGCCTGGTGGAGCTGGTGGGCCGGCACTATTTCCTGGAACTGCGGCGGCTGAGCCCTTCCCTATACAGCGTGGTCCCGGCTTCACAATGTTGTACCCCGGCCATGCTCTTTCCTGCCCCAGCGGCCCGCCGGACCCTCACCTACCTGTCCCAGGTGTACTGCCACCAGGGCTTTGGCAAGGACATGGCACTGTACTCACTGCTGAGGGCCAAGGGGGAGCGGGCCTATGTGGTGGAACCCAACCTCGTAAAACACATCGGGCTCTTCTCCAGCCTTCGGTACAACTTTCACCCCAGTCTGCTGTAGCGGGCCACGAACTGCCTCTCTGAAGTTGGCTGCTTCTGAGAGATTCAAATACTGAGCTCCATATTTCGACATGGTTGCTTGCAGATAATTCGTTGTTTAACGTTGCCGGGAATATAAGCACTAAGACTGCAGAGGGACAGACCAGTCAAGAACCTTGGCACGAGCAGCCATTGGCCGCAGATCCGGATCCCTGGCCCTCCACCAGCCACACCGCCTCGGGCAATCTGATCCACCAACCAGGGGGCATTTAAATACCAGTTATATTCTCCAGTTGTGCTCAGCTGCACTTTATGGCAGAGACTGTGACTGCCAAAAATATTGTGCACAGTGACTGTTTAAGGATTTTAAGGGCAGAATTGGTGAAAGGTTAGACCCTTTCGAATGGATTTCTTTTCATTGGACAGGAGAATGGATGTGTTTCAGATACATGTCTAAACAGGCAGGACCATGTCGATCATTTCCACCTGTTTCCTGAAAGCCAATAAAAGCCATGCAGCGCCTGGCAGCGTGGAGGCAGGTGGGCTCACTTCTGTTACCTGCCTTTCTCTCTTCTGCATTGTCGTGCACTGGTGATCAGTATTGTTTGTGAGAACTTCAAGGCCTAGCAAAATTTGAAAGCACCTTATGGATCATCAAAGTCAGATTGCTTATGTTTATTAGGGATTTAGTATCGAAGATTTTGGTCACATTCTGATTATTTGGAAAGTGGACATTGTAGAATGGCATAGAATGGGTGAGCTTTTTTACTCACTGTATATCCCTTTTCCTAACTTGCTGGCTAACCATTCACTCTCATTTTTTTTCTTCTAGGTAGCATGGTGTTATAGAAGACAAAACATGGGCTGCAAAGTCAGACGACCTGAGTTTTGATTTCAGATCTCTCATGTCCTAGTGATGTGAACTGGGCAAGTCATAACCACTCTGAGTCTCAGTTTCTCCACCTGTAAAATGGGGACAGTGGGACCTACCCTTTAAAGTTGACTCGTGGTTGAAATGACAGAATGTTTGCAAAACACCTAATAAGTGCTCAGCCCAGAGAGAGTACTTGGCAAATTTTGGTTCTTGTCTCTCCTGTAATAAGTATATAAAACTCAAGTGTATTTTGGATAAAGATATTAATGATATTGTTTAGAGTGGGGGTCCCCAGCCCCCCAGGCCGTGGACCAGTACTGGTCTGTGGGCTGTTAGGAACCAGGCCACATAGCAGGAGGTGAGCACCAGTGAGCAAGCAGACGCTTCACTCACAGTACTGCCTGAGCTCCGCCTCCTGTCCCCACCCCTCTCCCAGTCCATGGAAAAACTGTCTTCCAACTGGTCCCTGGTGCCAAAAAGGTTGGCGACTGCTGGCTGAGAGTATGAGACAGAACACAGCTCACACTCATGAAGCAGCCCTTCCAGACCAACCACTACAATGAACACTGACTTGTCATTGTGACTTCTGCAGGGCATATGGCTCCAACCAAGCCAAAACAACTTCTTATTCAAACTGGAAGTGATCTGAGGCTCCTTTTGAGCTTATTCCAAGACTATCATCTAAAAATTACTTCTCTCGAGTGGTACAAATAACTGGCCTTTGACGACGCTTATCAAACCCATGGACAAGTCCCTTCACGAGGACATGTGATTGAATTAAGAGTTCAAGCACTTCTCTGATTTGTTTCAGAGCCACATCTTCCCTTTGCTTTTACGTTTCCACAGTGAGCTCCCATCTGGGGATCCACTTGAGAACAGAGAGAGGAGTTGGGGGGAGGGGAAGGGCTCTAGCACCCCACTTCGCAGATGAACAAACCGAGACCCAGAGGTGTTAGACAACTTCTCCAGGTTCACACAGCTGAACAGGATGGAAACAGCTCTTCTGACTTGCAGCTTTTTTCTTGACTGCACTCATGTTATAAATATCTATGTAGTCAAATTCTGTCCTGTAAAATTCGATTGTAACCTGGACTGAATAATGTATCCGTAGACTAAGGTATGAGAAAGTCTTTGTCATGTGGGTCTTGGGGAACAAGCAGGTCACAGTGTGTGTTGTGTTGTTGTAGTGACCTGTTAGGTATCTCCCAGCAATGCCCGAAGTGGTCAGAGCTAGCAGATGACTTACTCAGATGTTCAGATTCCACACCTTCATTCCTCCTCACCCAGCAACTGGTCCACTCCCATGCTGGAGAAAAGGACTACCCTCAACCTAGACCTTATTAGAGTTTGTTGCATTCATGATTGGATCCTCTCATGAATTTTTTTATGGTCCTGTTTAAGCTAGGCAGCCTCAAGACAGGGGAGTCATTGCTGGTTTATGTTTCTGTTCTTTTTGATTCCGTTGGCTACTGCATGCAGACATCCCCTCCTGACTCCTGCGTTCTGGATGGTCAAGGCCGTCTTGGCCTTGTCTGGTTTTTCTACCTAAGTACCCAGACCTCTTCTCCCATTGAGCTTAAGTAGAGTCTGCCATCCTTGGATATTTTCTGCAGCTGAGTGCTGCCCTTTTCCCTCTACCCACTTTTAGATATACCCCCCTTTTGTCCCTCATTCCTCGAGTCCAATTTTCATATATTGTCCTTGATTAGGACAGCTGACAGCTTCACGCCAAAGCTGATGTCCCTTGTTTAATCCTAAGCAAGGGGACTAGAGGAGACCTCAAGTCCCCCCCCCCCCATATCAAGGGACACAAGTTACTAGGTGGGTGAAGGTTTCTAACAGTCCTGCTCATCTTTCAAAGTTGAAATTATTGTCAGGCCTAAGAAGGTCTCATTTGTGACTGATCGTATTTGCATAGACATATCACGTAAAATAAAAGCACCCATTCCACTGAGGTATCCTGAGAAGACTTTTGTTATTCTCTTTCACTCATTTATATGGGACGGATTTTTGCATGTGGCGAGTAGTATCAAACACACACATATGCACATACCCCCCACCACTGTGGAGTCCCAAAGTACTACGCAAAGGTACGGGCTGTTGGCTTAATAACTGAATTTCTTAAATGGAAGCATTTGAATTGTGCATCCGTCTTTATTACTGTGTTTGTTTAAAGAAAAAAAATGGTGAGAATACTACCATGTAACTGGAGAATAGAAGCAGGATGTATAAAATGATAGGATTGATCTTATTCCCCTTGGATGCACTTCCCATTGGGGAGAACTTATTTAATTGGTAACAATTTGGGTGGAGAGGCATTCTAACTGAAGTTGATCACTGTGGGATTTTTAGATACACTGAGATTCATTGTGAGTTGCAGTAACACATGCTATAACTGGGTGATTTTTAAGTTACATGAACAATTTGGATATTTTGGTCCTTACTGCAATGAATTTGCTGAGAAAAGCTCATTAACTGGCACTGTTTCTTCAGGTTGGATTTTTGGAAAAACCTTGGGGCTGTGTCAGACAGTTGGAAATTGAACAGTGCTAATGGCCAGAAAAGGTATTTTACATTATATTAGAGCCGTGGCTGGTGGGTCACCCCAATATTGGTTTGTTCACAACAACATGAGTCATCCTCCATGCTGAATGGGAACTTTTGGTTCACAGTGGGACACCTTATCTTCATTGACCTTTCCCTGGTGACCTACACAGAAATATGGATAAATGAACTGATTTTTTTAAAAAGCACCTATGTTCACCATTTGGAGGTAAGAACAAGATGAAAATCCAAAGGCAAGTGACGACTGCATCAAAAATAAACAAGGAACAGGAGGCACAAGAACGTGGGAATGAGGTAGCGTTACTATGTCAGAGAGATGGGAAAAGAGGACAGTGATTAGAAGCAGAAAGTCCCATCTGTCACCTGTTCTTGTCTGTCCCAAACTCCCTTATTTAATAAATTGTGTGTGTGTGTGTTTGGCTGTCATGAAATCCTTATAGGACCAGTTTGTGGAGATGCAAAGGAACAAAACAGTGGACAGTCAGTGTTCTGGATAAATCATTCATTACCTTGCTAGGACCTGGCTTCGTACTGCACTTAGAATAAAACTCAAACCCCTACACTGCCACCCGAGCCAGTTGTGATCTGGCCCCTGCAAACTCTCGGACTCCATGTCTCATCACTCCCCAGGCTCTAGACACACCCGCTTTCTTTCAGTCCTTGTACTTGCTTCCTAGGTTCTCACTGCAAGGCCTTTCCCTGAACTCGGTATTAAACTGCCCCCACCCCCAAAGACTTTCCATTTATCTGAAGCAGGCTTTCCTTTCCCCCTTTCCTACTCTCAAACCCACTTCATCAGATTACCCAGTTTGAGTCCCTTCAAAGCTCTTGTCATTACCTCAAGTTCCCTTATTTATTATTTTGGGTTTTTCACCTCCATCTCCTGCCACAGAATATAAGGTCTGCAATATCAGGGGTCGTCTGTGTTTTATGTCATTCATCCCCAGAGCAATACCTGACACACAATAGGAAATAATAGGAAAGATTTCAGGAAATAATAGGATAACAGTGGGACTGTTATCCAGCTTAAGTGGTTCACCACTTGGAGTGCTCTGTTCAAGAATAAGACTTCAAGGGGTTTGGCTGGGGTGGAGGAAAAATGCAGACAACTGTAATTGAATGACAATAAAGTAATTTTTTAAAAAATAAGACTTCACTGTGGCAAAGTAGTTGCAGCATGTACAGGAGATGAGATTCATATCCCAAGCTCTGTCTCCTGGGAGCTTAGCCAGTGTTTATATACACTGGTCAATTACATGTCGATTGCTTCTGCAGTTGGTTACTTTCAATTACATGTTGATTTCTTCTGCAGTTGGTTACTTTTATTTGTCAAATTCCTAGGAGCTCATCCTGTTTACCACTGCATCTGGGAAATACTATGCTGTGTTTTAACATTTTGCAAGAAATAACATTTAGAGCTGCAGGACATTGAGACCCTTATCCTCTCTAACAGAACTGTCCACCAAAAGGAATACTGGACAAAGAAACGGGACTAGGGAAGAAAAAAGGTGAGGAACGGGGTTGGTTCTAATTTTCAGTTTGACCCTGTGAAAGAAGTTTTCTTCACGTATTCCAGATGGAATGGCAAGTGTAAAAAGGAACTTCCTACATCACCACATGGCTCCTTTCTCCTTTGTTGTTATTGTAGTTTTGTGTTCAGAGGCCGGGGGTGGGGGTGGGCCCTGTGTGTTACTGTCAAAGAAGGGCTGGGTGTTCTCCTTCAGCTGCAGCAGCTGCATCTTCCTGAGAATCATCTGCACGTGACCACCACCCACGGTTGGCACCACAGCCTGTTCTAGCACTTTTGGGTGGAGGGGCTGGAGAGCGAAGGAATGATCACCACATTGTACCTGTGCACTCTTCTCAAGTTACAAGGGTGATACGGTTTAAATCTGACCGTGTAGTTCTGAGTGCTAGTGGTGGCCTTTGGCAAAACATTATATGATTTAACAAATCAGAGAGGTGCCCTGACTACTGCTTTGGCCTGGTCGAGCATCATCCTCCAAAGCAACAGGTGGCCAGTTCGATTCCCTGTCAGGGCACGTGCCTGGGTTGCAGGCCAGGTCCCCCAGTCAGGGTATGTGCGAGAGGCAACCGATGGATGTTTTTCACATCGATCTTTCTCTTCCCCTCTCCCTTCCCCTATAAAAATAAATCTTAAAAAAAAAAAAAAAAGAATAAGAGGTAAACATTCACAGAAACTGCCTGGGCAGAGCAGGGACCTATTTTAAGGACCATTTTTTTTTGTTGTTATATGATGTTTGGTATCTGATTTTTATTAGCGTAGCTTTGTTTAAATGTGAACAGTTGAGTCCCCTGCAAAATGCAGGCGCTGGCATATGCTGGCAACATGTTAGATAAAGAATGTGCCCCGCCCCAGTTTGTTTTTATCTGGAAAACAATGTAAGTCTTGGCACTGCTGGGACCTGGAACCTGTTACTTGTATTCAGCAGCCCATATTTTTAAAACACAAGTCCGCAAGTCTGTGTAGATTTCCTTCCTGCAATGTGTTCAAGGCAGTTCCTCTCGTCTGTCTCAACCCTTTTCAGCTCTGACACACCCAGAATCCATAGTCGGCTGGGGTTCAGCAAAAGAAGCTTGGCTTTTGTTGAGCTCCCCCTCCAATGAAGTTTACGATAAAGAAGCCAGGGTTTCATCTTCTTGGAATCTACACATGGAGTATTCTTCCTCATTTGTACAAGTACAAAATAAAACAAGCATCTAAATTTAAAAAGATCTGGCTGGTGTGGCTCAGTGGATTGCCATTTCAATTCCCAGTCAGGGCACGTGCCTGGGTTGCAGGCCAGGTCCCCAGTAGGGGGCATGTGAGAGGCAATGAGAGGCAATCACACAGGATGTTTCTCTCCCTCTCTTTCCTTCTCTCTAAAAATAAATAAAATCTTTAGAAAAAAATTAAAAATTATTTTAAAAAATTATTTTAAAAATAGTGTGTCTGTCACATTGAAAATCATAATTCGTGTGTTTTTCTGCAAGGAACTACATCAAACAAATCATACATAAATCTAAATTTAGTGGTTTATTCCTAGCTTAATAAATCCCTAAATCATATTAACAATATTCAGGGGACTCAAGCTTTTTAAAAAAATCTAGCTGAGCTATTACCTAAAATACCATAATAGGAAGAGACACACTTCCATATATGAACAAAATGCTTTGAAGAGATTAGAATCACATTATCTGCCACTTTACCAGTTAACATCAGAGAAAGAAAACTCGTACAGCCAAATTAACCCATATTGTCACACTTGAACATGAATTCTCTCCCTAAGGAAGACACTGAAATTTACAACTGCATGTCGGAATCCTCTAGACAAACATTTTTGATCTACAAAAGGCACCAGGCGTCACGTCCCACGTGTCAATTTACATTGACCGAGTGCCTGCTGGGTGACGGGCGCTGTGCTGAGAGCCAGAGACCCCAGGGTGAGCGGACATAGACGTGCTTTCTTCTGTAAACAAAAGGGCTGCCTCGGCAAGCCTGACAGCCTTCAGTAACTAACAGTAACCATGTGGGTGTTTTGATTGTCAAAAAAAAAAATCCCAACTAGGCAACTTATGGAGGGAAGTCACATCCTAAGGCCTATATGATAGCTGAATCTCTACTGTGACAAGTTCTGCCCATTGCTTTCGTGCATCTAGAATGACATACTTAAAATGTCACAGTGATCTCTTCTCCAGACCTTGGAACAGAGCGAGACAACTCCAGCATGCCTCGTTATTATCTTTTACCCACATACTGTTATAAACTGTATGTGAACTGTTAACTGTCCTGTACCCACTATAACGGTGCAGCCAAGGGGGGGGGCAAAATAAATTTAGAATGATGTCCAGAACCCAAGGTATCTAGGAAATATTAGAAAGACATATAAGATGTCCTCACCCCTTCCCCCCACAGGTATGAGTTGGAGGAAGGAGCAAACGGAGCAGGGCCACAGAGCTGTTTTATACTTTGCAGCTAACATCTGGCATAGTCATTAAACATATCTATCACCTTTAACTGGCTGCATAGATATGTTAAATAGCTGTGGCTATGCTCTGAGCCAGGGGGATGGAAGGGACTTCCACCCAAGAAGTAACTGGGGGCAGGTCCCCCAAGTTACAGGGCCTGCACGAGAGCTTAGAGATGATTGGCTCCACGACATGGGGCCACACCTGCCCAGACTTACTATGGCAGCCCAGTAAAGCTAGAAGGATACGGGAGTGCTGGCAAGTGCAGCCAATTGTGGGAGGAGTCGGAAATGGGGCTGCAGCGGAGGATTGAGACTAGGCAGCCATTGAGGAGAGAGTCATGTGCTTTTGGCCAGAGTGGGGACCCCCGCAGCTCTGGTGGAGAGAAGAACCATGTAGTTTGGGCCAGAGTGGGGACCCCTGCAGCTTTGGGGTGCTCCCTTTGGCCACGTGGCCTGAGAAGCAGGAGAGACTTTGCCTAGAAGAAGGGTGAAAGAACTCTTGCCAGTAGGCCATTAGAAGGTGCCGCATGGCTTTAGATTAATTAGAGATCCTGTCTGGATGGTGACACAGCTGATGGTGCCAGGAGCCTGGATCCCTGACGTTTGCTTCTTTTCCTGAGCTATGGCACCCTGAATTAGGGCCGGGGGAGAAGGAAGCACCGTGGGCCTCTGTGGGTATCCAAACGGACTTTGATGTTTTAAATGAAGACATTAAGTCACTCCTTTAAGTCCGTATGGCATTAAATAAACCTTTCCTTTCCTTTTCACAAATCTCTGGCATTGAGAGACATCTTTCCTATAGGGCAGCAGACATAATGAACCTTGGCCCCTGTTATTCTGTAACAGTTTTTGGCGTCCCCGGGTGGGCCAAATATTGCCCCGCCCCCTTGGACCTCTGTTCTGTAATGCCACCAATGTAAAGGAAGTAAATATCTCTATTTTACTTTTACCCAATCTAAAGATATCCCCTCTTCTGAATCTGCCCCCAGTGGATTTCACATAACCTTTCTTATGTCTTCTCCTCTGATTCTAATGTATAAGATCAATGGTAAAACTACTGGATCATTAACTCAGTCCTTTCAGGTTTTGCTTCTGGGACTGGCCCCCAAACCCTTGGCTCAAAATAAACTCTTTAAACCATTCTTTAGGTTTACAATTTCTTTCCTCAGCACTTCCTTCTAGAACCTTGTTGTCTGGGGGAGGAGTTAGTACAGTGAAGCAAGTCTTGGGGGGCCAGGGTCACAGGGTGTCATCTATAAGTTGCCCCAAAGCGCCAGAACTCTAAGCTGCCCCAACTTTCTCAACTCCCTTGCAACTTCTTGCAGAGGACAACATGACTCCCCGAAGAAGCCTCCAGCTAACCAAGGGAATGAGGGACACATTTACTTTCAGAAATAGGTGGTGGTGAATGGGGAATGAGCCTGTCCCAGCTGGAGGGAGATAAAGAGAGTAAATTGGTTCCTAGAGCAGGTGCTCTGGGCAAAAGGGATAGCTTCTGATGCAAGAGGAAGGTCCAGAACATTATCTTTGCACTTATTAAAGGTTATTTCTTTCTCTTCCATTTCCAGGAGAGCAAGCCTCTTAATGTCATGTTTTCTAATCTAAATTAGGAAAAAAGATGTGATATCTTTTTTCTGAAACTGAATTTAAAACATTTATTTGGGGGGAAAAATGACCTCCAGAGAATTTAGCTTGCCCAAGAATGACACATCTTGTTGACAGCTATTTGCCATACTGTTCTCAAAAAAAGAATCAAGAAAGGCCAAAGCCAAAGTACTTTTTGTCCATCCATCCCATCTGCTGACAAAAGCCTACTGGTCCTCAAATGCAGAGACTGTGAGGCTCACACCTGTCCTCATTCCTTCAAGGTGAGTCTCATTCCCTAAGGCTTTCCTGCTAGTTCATGGTCCTTCCCGAGTCTTGCAGCCTTTGGGTTTCTTGT